TCCCTCTCTGCCTCACTTCTCTTCATCTGTCATGTTTCATTTTGTCAGATTGATTTCCTTTTACTATAACAGTTGGTATGTGGCAGACTTGAAATGCTAATCAGCCCTTACAGTTTCTCACACAGTGTTGAGAAACTACTAGCTGTATTTAAAGAAAAATGGGAACGTTATTGCTAATTGGGTCCTCCTGAGAGTGTTACAAAATAAAATTTATTACTTGCTACTAGTACCCACTTTATTTTGAAATACTAAACTTAAATTTTAAAATTATGTGATCAATATTTATTACCAGTAAAGAAGTTGCTACTGTCATTTAAGAAAATCTGTTCATTATGGAATTAAACTTGCAGAAATTTATGTAGATTTTTTTAAGGTGATGATATTAATTGTACTTGTATTTGTCTCTCTAAAGCATGGTCTGATTGTTGCAGGACATGATTTCTTAACAGTAATAGAAAAGCATGCTTGGATGTGTACCCATGCATCCACATCACAGCTTCAGCTCTCCTGTGCCATGCACAGCAACCTGGATGGGAAAACTACAGCATTTCCCTTCCTCCCACGGTAAATCTGCACTTGACACCTTTTAGCTATAGTCTTTATGCAAGCATAGTCATATAAACAGTCCCTATTGAAGTTTTTATGACTATATAGATGGAAGGCTTGTGTATTTAAAATGAAATAGAATTTATTCCCTAAGATGTGGCATTTGGATAGAGAACTGTTGTTCACCTGATGTGTATGATGTGCACCTGTGGCTTGTTTCCTCAATAGTCAACTTCTCCCATCGGTAAGATTATTCTGAATAAGCTACAGCACACCTCTGCTAAGTCTGAATGAGACACGTTTTCATTATCTTACTGCCTATAGAGTTCTACATGTGAAATTATGGTTTGCAGTAAAATTAATACCTACCGTTCTTAATTCTTGCTTCTGATCTGCCACAATGGGAAGTCATCTTGAACATCTTTGCAAGTAAGTCCTAAGGCAATACGATTTGGCCTTTGTCATAAAATCTGCATGTTAACAGGTCAAAAGCCTTCTCTACCCTTTTACTACCCCAGTGTGGCTGGCATTTTCAATAGGACACATGTGGAGAAAAATAAGACACAACTGCTACGAAATTAAAAGCTGAAAATGGGATATTGATTTGAACTGCAGTCAAACATGATTTGGTTTTCTATCTTTTATCTAATTTGGAGTCATCTTTTGTGGTGGACTCCTGAGTCTTTC